TGGTTGTTGCCCTTGCACTGGCAGCTGCCAGAACCACCCTGGAGATGGGGGCAACATCTATGGTAAAGCAAGGCAGCCAAATATCTCCATCTGACTCTTTGAGTAGCCACAGAAGAGATATGTGTAGCTACAAATTCTCACCTCCAGTAAAGCAGATGGAAAATATAATTTTAATAGGTTTTCATTTTAAAAAAATCTGAACAATAATTTCAACTTTTTAATTTAAAATTCTTGGGAAAACCAAAGGGATTTTTTCACAGCAGAGAAACTGCCATTTTGTTCTAGAAAGCTGTTTCTGCTAAGAAGTTGGCAAAATTTCTTTGTAAAATACAGATTTTCTTTCTTCTCCCTCCCCCCTCCCCACCTTCCCCCCTTGCTTTGAACAGATGCACGGAAATTAATGGTTTTCCCTGAAAGGTAAAAGTATTATTTTTTTCCCTTACGGACTTTACTGTTGCTGTAGGCCTGACTGCAGCTCAGTATTATGATTTCACATGGGTTTTCTGGATGATGCTTCTTCAAAAGTGTTGACATTTAGATAGATGGGCTAATTTGGGAATGGACTTCCCTGAAAATCCTTTGGACTCCGTGAGGCTCAAAGCTCACCTCGGAAGCTTCCCATCTACACAACAGGTTCTAAAACTAATAACTCCTTACAGGTATATTGGACTTCTCAGGACTCCACTGTGGTGAGGTATGTAGGTAGGCCTGTACCTGGAAGAAACCCTGGGATCTGGAGAGGGTATCAAACACCATGGCACTGTGCAGAATATACTTCATTTTGTGCTCTCCGTCATTCCATTTTGATGGTATGGCTGTGGTTAATGTGTCTCACCCATTGTACTTTCATGGCCCATTGTGACACTAAGTGAGGTACTCAAGAATGAAAAGAAGTATCACTATTTCCATTTTTAAGGAGAGGCTGTAAGGTCAGCACCCTGCTGTGTAGGATTTAGGCAGTAACAACACAGAGGAACCAACCTGTTCTTGGAGGGAGTTTGCCAAGCAGATGGTTCTCATGCCTAAGGGTGCACAAGCATCAGAGGTGCTAGGTGAGTCGGACACGGACCACCCGGTCATATGCACAAGCTCTAGAAATGTCTAATTTCCTTTGTGAATTTCACCAGAAATCTAAGAACTATGCACCTGAGCAATGTTTCTAGGACTGGTTTGTAATGAAGTATAAATCAAAGCCATGTCACTCTCTGTACTATAAAAGCTGTAGCCTGATAATTTTTGTTTCCATAAAAGCCATACAAGATAAGATTACTCTAGAAATAGTGTCTATAAACAAAAGCAATGCTGGGGTTAACCATAAACATCAAATCACTCCCAAGACATCACTGACTGTAATCTTTGGTGGTTTCATACATCATCTTGAGCCATGCTGGAATGAAATGTTCTCCCTCAGAGCCAGATAGTTTATTATCTGCTCCAGGTGTTGGTTGCATAGGGTCTGCCCTTCATGTACTTGCTTCTTTACACCAAACCTCCATCTTGTAATCACATTGCTACTGGGGATGAATAAGGTATTGCCTACCACTGCTGTCAACTCTGCAAAGGCTGAGCTTCCTCAGAGCAAAGAGCAGAATTTCCCAGGCAAAACCCTTTGCTGCAAACTGTTGTTGTAGAGGGTCCTTCTGTCTGCTCACAGACACACTGGTGATATATCTGATCATGTAATGCCACATTATACACTCTCTTCTAGCTCCACCGTTAGTTTGCCCCATGCAACTACTGCATGTGTGGCTTTTCCATACTACTCACTGACTTTAGCAGGAGGCTTGCTTGTGTGATCTCAGCCCTTCATTTTGGTTGTCTTTTTCCTCAGCATTGCACTTATCTATTTATCTGTCACTGTCTTGGGAGAGTTGAAAGAAATAAATGAAAATACATTCAGCCAGGGGCGAGTCTGAAGTTACATTCTTAAGTATCATAGTCCAAGATAAGGGAAAAAGCTTTGAGGCTTTCCTGTTAATTTTATCACAACTTTACCCACGCTGTGTTCTCATTGCCTCATAAGTCTTCAATTTTTGTGACTCAGCATAGGTCTCCTGAAGGGAATTTGAAGCTCCATTGAACACCATCAGCTGAATACTGGACAGAATATCTAAAACCTCTAAATTACTCTCAGGTCTTTTGTGAGAGTGGTGGAACTATCAACATGACATTACTTCTCTGTAATGAAGTAGACACACTATGACTTTGGAGACCTTTGAAGGAGATGAGTCCTGTTATTCTTCAGTTATATTCCTCATCACTTTACAGTCTGGAGATCCATGACAGTAAATTCCCACAAGGCTCCAAACAGAACAGTTAACATTTGAGGAAGGATAAAAAGTTTTGTTTGAAACTCTTGGGGAAGAAGTCAAACTCCTGTTTGAAAATGTAATAAAAAAAAATAAATATATTAACAACTCCTTCACAATGAGATTAAAAAAAAAATAGTACTTTTTACATTCCTTTACCAATTTTATTGTAAACAAAACCTGAAATTTAAATATCCGTAAAGTTCCAGCTCATCCATTTGTTTGACAAACTATCCAAAAGCTCAAATTTGTACTCTAATCTGAAGCAACCCGACTCACATCTCTTGAGACTGGAAAACTGGATCAGATGCTTGAGAGAGGTCAAAACTGTTACGCATGTACATAGATGTCCCTGTGACTATTTCTTAGGTCAAAACCAATAAAAATATCTTTCCTTTTCTATCTGTGCAGCTCTATTGATCTTGGTCAGTAGCCAGTACAGAAATATCCCTTTATTAGATTGGCCCATTGGTTTTGATCATGTCCCCTCCCAGTGACAAGCCCTAACCACAGTACCAATGCCATGGAAGAGGTCCATTAACTGAGGTCATCGAGGCCTGAACTTTCTGATGATGGCTTGTCCCACTCTTCTCTTGCCGCATAATCTCTTAGAGTTTGGACACTGCTAGTTTGTTACACAAGAATGATAAATGGTTTGTTTTAAAATTTGCTTGGAAAGCTTTAGTACAGGCTCTGAGCAGAAGTTCAGATGTATCTTGTCTTTCCACTTCCTCCCTCTGTCCCCAGTGGTAGGGACTTAGGATGTGGGAGGCCATGGCTCAAAACTTTCCTCTTATATTTGTATATATTGTCTCAAAAAGCAATACAGCTTTTAAGGATGTGATTAAGAAGGAGCCTGTAGCTCAGCATTTACCCTTCTTTCTTAGATTCTAAACATGCAGACATGGGCCTGAACAGTACATTCCTATATTTTGTGTGAGAGCCTTATTCACAGTTATTTGCATAGTTATTGCATGTAAATGGACTACCTCCCGTTTTGTGCCCAATTCTACAAATGTCACTAAAATCCCTTTGTGAAGCTAGTTCCTCCTTTCCAAATTCCCTTTGCTTTTACTATAAAAAGCCTGAAAAAAATTGTTTCTTGGATGCAAAACATTTTTTGATTAGTTGAGGAAGGAAATATTTTCCATTCTAGGTCTAAAAGAAACAAATTCTCTCTTTCCAGTTCAGCCACCAAATTAAAAACAATTGATGATTTGCACAGCTCTTGTGAAAACCATGCTCTCTGCAGTAGCTCATGACAATTTCCATGACAATACTGTACATTAATATGCTTTATGGGTACAGCCTCACACTGCAATGTAGGACACTTTTACAATGATCCCCGACTACATCACATGCGGCTGTAGCAAACAATGAATCTAATGCTGCACTTGTAAAAGATTTATGATTCAGAGAGCAGAAGATAAATGATTCCAGTCCCTGGATGCTTTAAGAGCAAGTTCCTTTAGCTCATATGGTTAAAATTGATCTTTCCATTGTCTCTTGTATGGAATGACCAAAACTAATGATGTTAGGTAATCAATATGAAAAGCCGTGCATAAAGAATTAAACCAAGAAATAATGGATTGCTGTGTCAAAGGCCTCCAGACAGTAAGAAATCGGTGGTGACTGGACACGTCAAAGAGTCACCCAGACCTTTGGGTATTTCACTTCAGCTTGTACCCACATCTAGAACAAAGGAGCCCCTTTTCGTTCAGAAACAAAACCATGAGCAAGCCAAAAATAATACCGTGTTATCATACACATGGCCTCCCTATAACCTGCAACCTTTGAGAGTTATCAGTACTCAGATAACCTGCAAAAGAGCCGAGGGAGGACCTGAAGGCCAATGAAGGGAATGGAAAGGGAGCTAGAATAAAAATCCTCTGTATATTATCTGCAGTCCTGAAGTCTGCTCAGTGCCTCAATCGCTCCAGGATTTCTAAATTTGCTTTGTAGAGTCCCTGCGGATTATACATGTGAAAATTAAGCACTAAAACTCTAAAATATAAGATCCGTGAAATCTGGTTTCTAGTGGCTCTGTAGTTTGTGTTTGGAGTCTCTGCTGTCTAGTAAGCTATGACGCTTTTCTTTAGCTATGGTTGAGGAACTCATAACGGTGCTCTCCTTGTGGATTCACTAGTGTCTAGTACCTATGAGTTTGTGTGGTCAAGCTCACTTGGTAGCCTTTCTGACAGCATAGGAACCACTGGAATCTGTCTCCTCTACATGGCTGGTTATTTAATGAAATTTGCAGAATTTCACATCTTTGAGTCCCCTACTGCTCTGTTGAATTTAGTTAAAATCAGTTGCTAAATTCAGAGTGAGAGGAGTGACACACAGATGTTCTAGCATTGTGCATCATTGCACAGATTTCATTTTCCTGGGAAATCAGAGGACAGTTGCTAAGTAGCAAGTCCTCCTTTAGAGATTTAAAAATATCTGTAATGATGTTCCTTGGGCAAGGTTTGAAGAGCACGTTGGTTGGAGCCTGCCTTGTGCAGCACACAGTGTTAACCTGCACAGTAGCCACAGCAGGCGGTAGGAGAGCTCATGGACAGACAGCCTAGTCTCTGATCTCCCTCCCATCTAAAATGACATCCACTGCAGAGAAATGGCTCATTCCTGCTCTGAAATATTCAGGAACACGATATTGTTCTGCACACACTGATTGATGCTACATAGCTCTTGCTGTTTACTCTCTTTATTTTTTTTCACACATCATGTTACTTTCAGGACTCGCATTTGTCTCTTGCTTCTTTTCCGTCTTTTTATTTTTCACACTTCTGAAATACAGATTTTCTGTTGCATCTGTTCAAAGTCATCTAATGAGGCTTGGTCTTGAAGAAGAATGGGACTGAAGTTACTGAGCGATTCTCCACTTCTCACTCTGTCTGTCTGGAGAGAGAAAGATGGGGAAAAATGAGGAAAAGCTGGAATGTAGAATCATTTTTGAACATTTTTCTTTGCTCTTTTGGGTATTAGAGTGTAGAAAAAGTTTCAGTTTCCACTTGAATCTTCCAGTCAGGAATTGTACTGACGTCTCCCATGAGCCTCATCAGTTCCTAACATCCAGACATAACAGATATAATCAGAAGCTTGGAGATGAGCTGGCACAGTCTCCTTTCCACCAGAAGGAGTATGCATTTCTGTAGATGACAATTTGGCTCCATTCATGCTAAAGAATATACCATTCTTTTCCTGAACTGTTACACTGAGGAGACAGGCTAAGCCCAGCACCTGGCTTCTGGGGTCTGGATACCCATGTTCTGCTGGAAGCCCCATGTATCCCTGAAATTCAAAGACTCACAACTTGGGAGTGTTCAGCTTTGCTTCCAGACTGTGAATTCCCAGAACAGAAATCACTCAAGGCCATTTCAGAAGATGGAGTAACTAATTTTTAAGGCATTTCAGCTCTGAAGAACTTCACCTAGGGACCCTGGCAATGGCAAGCTCAGCACCTCATGCCCACTACTAATTTGAGTAGTTGACACGCAGCTAACCTCCAGACATGGCTTAAGAAATTGGAAGCAGGGAGCAAACACATTGCGGAAGATATACTTATGTGAGGAACAGCTTGCTCCTGGGATGCACATGTGCATTATAAAGTAGCCTGTCTCTGGGTTCTGCTGCCCCCAGGCTACCTCAACAGCTGGTGAGGATGAAAAGGGAGATCTCGGGGTTCCCTCCCTTTTGTGTTGCCCGCAGCACATCTTTTCTTCCCTGTGGATGACTGAGGGATGCCCGCCAGTGCCAGAGGGAATAGTGCCACCCACAGTGGTGGGCGGAAGGAGAGAAGCAGTAATGTGTCTGGGGTCTCAGCACAAAGTAGAGGCTGAAAAACAAGGTATTGGGGCCTTTTAGCCTGGGTGCTATTAGCTATGCCGGTCCCTCTGAGGTCCTGGATTTTGCTGCCTGCAAGTCATGGCACTGTTGCCCCCATTCCTCAAATCCACCCCCTCACCCATTCATGAGGATGGACTTCATTTCTTTATCTTCTACCTCAATGCTCTTTTTCCCCCCTCCTTATATCCCATTATATTGATTTTAGCCCCGGTCTTGCTCCATTTAACCCAGTGTTAGAGGTCCAGACCTTAAATATTTATTCACTTAATGTAGCCAAATGCAGCCAATAGCAATTAAAGGCCTGACCTCTAACACCCCACTGAAGCAACCAGCCAAAGTTAGAGGCTCATCACCACATGAGAAATCTGAAGTAATTAGACCCCCTTCTGCCCCTGTTTCCCTCCCCCTGCCCCCTGCCCCAAATACTCTGTAAAATAATACCATGGCACTAAATTATACCTCATTACCTATTGAGTCACTCGATCCAGACCTCCCTTACATAGTAATGAGTACTGATTTATTGTGATCATTATTTGGGCATTACAGGTCACTAAATAACATGCTCTGCCCACACATGTCTTCTGAGCTAATAAATATCCTTATAGGAAATATTTTTGAGTGAACTAGCCTTCAGGTTGGTTCAGTAACTTAAGTCACATTAATTTTCTTAATGCATGTAGTGCTTTGATAGGAAAGCCGCAGGGATGGAGGCAGAAAAGGACGCACAGAAAAATCCTCAAACATAGCTTTTGTCAAGCTGGGGTTTCTGGATGGAAAATGGGGAAGTGGTGCAGAGGGAGGTCAGTGGGGAAGATCAGAAACAAGCCTTAGAAAATGTATATTTATAATCAACCAGCCCCCCTAGGGCTTGATCCGAAGCTCAATGAAGTAATGGAAAGATTCCCATTGAGCTTAATGGACCTTGGACCAGATCCAGGTGTGCTTGCAAGTATAAGTGTATGTGCATCACTTGTGAACACACATACACTACTATATATTTCTTAAAAACTTCAGAGCAAATTAAAATAATTCAAAAATTTGCTCCACGAACCAAAGACATTGGAGTTTCTGGAATTTTACAATACCTCCCTTGCTAGTGCAGCTATTGTACAAAACTGGGGAAAATTCACAATTGGCAGAGCTGGAATAATATTGTTTGTTATATTTATCTAGGTAAAATCTTCAAAGGACCCATCAATTTCAGTTAAAAGGTGAACAAAGCAAGTCTATGGATATTTCTGAAATATGTGGATATATATTTCCAAAAGAGACAATGGAAGATTAAAAAAGGAGAAAAAAAGAAGAAAAGAAGATTCATGATTCAGGAAAGATAAAGAAGAAAGGGATTAAAACCCCACTCTGCTAGCCATCACACAAAATGTTTTATTGGCTTACTCGTAGCAAATCCTATAATACATTTTCATTATTTATAGAAATAATTCTAGATTAGTTTGCCATAAAGAAATTGGGCCGGACTGTTATAAAAATTACAGAAATTAGATGAAATCAGGCTCTTTGAATTATCCATGAGCATTGGGTTAATATAATCAATACTTCAGCCATTACAGGTTGACGTTACATCTCGAGACAATTTTCTAACTTAATAAGATTAGAAATAATAAACTGGTATTATTTCTTTGCGAATTGGGGCCTCTGACCTAGTAATTTAATGGCTTCATTATTACAGCCGTGGAATGTAGAAAGACCCAGCACGCTCCCTATTATCACAACTGTGCTTTGTCCAAATTATGTGACTTTTAAAAAAGCAAAATAAAAACTTACCAAACAATTTCAAAGGGCTGTGGTGGACATTTTCCACTAGGCATGGTATGATACGCCAGATCATGCTTGTGATTTTATTTTCGGTCCATTGCACTGTAATATTATAGCGTGTATGCTTTCACATTTAAAAAAGAATGAAAAAAAAGCTTCTTTTGCATATTTTTGGAAAGACAATACTGGCAAAGCTTTCAGTGCTTTGTGCTCCTGCTGTTTTTTGGTGGCTGCTACTCCGACATGTTTACTTTGCAATGGGGAAGGAAAAATAGTCTCTTGGTCACAGAAATAGAGGTCCAAGTCTGGATTTTCCACAGACCTCTTCACCTCCATGGTTGAATGTGAGCCCTGTGGAGGTCAGGACGGACAACTCTTCTGGTGCCAGGACATCCAGGATTTCACTATTCCAGCAGTTTCTGATCAGGAGAGTGAGGACTTTGTAGGGAATTTCCTTTCTCCTGCTATGCGACTGTTTTGTCTATTCATGTATCAGGTCCAGAATGGAGATTTCCATTTGCCACATGCAGCTCTGAGCACCAGAGTCTACTGACCCAGGCTAGTGCCTTGCTGGGAGGCAAATAATAGCTGCAGCAAGCCTCATGTGGTGAAGCACGGGGCAATTGCACCCAGAGTGCATTTACTTCCCCTCATTGTGAACCTTAGGTGAAAACACCAATAACTCAGCAGTCTGATAGGAAACGTGTAGGACACCCATGCGTACGGTGGTGTGCACAGGGGAAATGTTGTCCCAGAGGGCACAAAGGGTCCAAAGAGTAACCCAAGTCAGGGACCGGGGTTCTCACGGGGGCTGAAGCTGGCTTCCAGGATGCAGGACACATGTCAAGGTATGCCTTCCTCAGCAACAACATTCAGAAGGTTAAATCCTTATCTTTCCTTCTCTTTTCTCCTCCCTGTGCAAGACACACTTCAGTCCTACCTGCTAAAATATAGTCCTGCTTTAGTGTACATCTGCAGTGCAGAGATGCAGGCAAACAGCATCTATTTTGCTCCTTATCTTCTCTCTGCACCGTTTCTAACTCAAAGCATTTTAGGAAAATAGAAGGGCTTATTCAGAAGGATGCTAATTCAGTTATCTCCACCTGTAAGAGACCCCCCTGTGGTCATTTCCAAATCTCTGGGCTAAGCTCATTCACATACACACATCTGTTAGAGCAAATGCTTTCTGTAAGCTTTAAAGGAAACATAACCCAGGATGATAAAACATCAAGGAAAATAGGAGACTCAGCCAAATAATCACCCCTCTGAACTTCTGCTTGAGAGGTGTCTGCTGTTAGATGCGTTTCTGTGCCCCTGCATCCGTCTTTAATTGGCAGGTTTGCGAGAGCAAGGGAATGAGAACAAGGACGCACTGAATACTGTGCTTTCATCACTGTTTAAGAATGAGGGAAACATCTCTGAATTCCTCTTTGGAAGTGAATGGAGAGAGTTATGATAAAGTTACCTGTCCTTCAGAATTAAGGCTGTAGCTTTTTAAAATTTTGTACTGAAATAATTTAATTTGGTTTTAATTTTAAGCCTAGCAACACAAGTCACAGACAAACATACACATACTAGTGGACCCACTGTGCTTCCAGACCACTGCATTATCCTAATTTCACAAGTGGGAAAAACAAGACCTTGAGGGGCTTGCTCAGGGACACCCGGGGCTGCAGCCGCTGGGGGAGAGGAGAAATGCAGCATTCCTGCATGTTGGCAGGGAGAGCCAATGCACGTGCTTCCTATTTCATCTGCTGGGCTCCTTCTGCGTGATTGCAGGCCAGCTGGTCTTTGATGTCCTTCACTAACTGAAGGTACTGCCGGTCAGGAGGGGACAGTGGCTTCAGATACGTAATGAGAAGCTCTTGACTGACAGTGCTTTTGCTCAACAGAATAATCACTTGGTCAGTTTTTTACTTTGATTTTGAAGAGTAAAAAGTATTTCACCGTTGCAATAAAAGAGCACTTTGATGGTGGAAACACTTTTTTCAGTAGCCAGAAAATCATAAGATATATGTATGTATAAATACATTTATATATATAGAAAAAATATTTGCTTTCAGCATGGAATTAACCCTAAGATAGGAGGCATTTATACGACCTGTGGTACCACTGTTAGTTTTGTGGAAACACTATTTTCTGTCTCTCACAAACGTGTTGGCATTTTTTACGACACTGTATATTTCCAGTCACCCTGGACGCATAACCTGTGCCCATTTAGAAACATGGCGCTGGAATAAAAAGCCACAGATGCTGCGAGCTCAAAGCGGTGACGGGGTATTTTGCCTGCGATGCATGCTTTAGGCAGCATATACAATGCCCCCTCCTTAAGCAACCACGACCAGTCTCTGGTTAATGTCTCCGAAACAGCCTGTTAAGACTGTTACTACAAATTAGAGTCTGGATCATTCTAAAATGAAAATAGACTTCTTTCATCTTCCAGATGGCTGTCTGATTGGGAACTGGGCAGGATCACATTTCAGGTTGTGACTTAATGATTCAGGACAATATTTATGGTTATTACCTGACAGAGGGCAGTGAGGAAAATTAAAGCACAGACCCATGCTTCATTTATGACAAAAAACAAATTCATGACAGTTCTGTATATTGGAGGTGGCATCTTTTGCTCGGGGCAAAGTCCGAGCATAGCTCCACATCTGAGCCAGACCTGCCGGGGGCTGCTGTGAGAGCCTGGCCAGGCTGGCTTTGCCATCCCCACTTTGATGTATGTGCTATCGTCAGAAACAATCTGGTGCTTCCCTTGGAGGAGGTCTTAGGCAGGCAAGATACAAATATGAGTGAGAGCTTTCAGAGGGGAAAAAATAACATAATTATACAGCGTATTTGTTTGATGGCTGCAGTTGTCTGAAATATTATTCTTTGGGGCATGTTTTTGACATAATTATTGCCACAGGATAATCCCTTCTGGAGAAAACATGGAGTAATTATGCATGCCAGTTGTAGATATGATTCTGCATGTGATTTTCCTTGAAAACGATGCTCCTTGTGATACCAGCCGGTGGGGGTGCAGGGTATTTTGAAGCAATGGGCAATGGTGTTCGGCTAAATCAAATTGAAGCCACAGCTTTGCTGGCTCTTTCCTGAAGGAAAGAAATTTATTAGTGTTCCTCTCCTGGTTAATCCTTTGCTTTGCATATGGAGCAGACTGGCACTTTTTTTTTATTGTCAGCTGCTAAAAAAAATAAATAGCCCTTGCAAAAGTGACTGCAACCCACGGCTTTGAGCTTCCTGTAAATCGGCTTCGGACTGCAGTTTTCTTAGTAAAACAAACAATTCTGAGAGATGAGAGGTAGTTGTTGAAAAAAAATCGGGGAGATAGCTATCCTTCCTATTGCTTAAGCTTATTTTATCCCTAAGCTAAAATAAGCTTTTTGAATTTGCAGATAGTGATATGAGGAATATTGTTTCAATTAAGTGTATCTTATTTTAGGGGAGAATATTCTGTCCACATCTGTTAAATATTACTCCAAATCAATCAAAATATTTATTATTTAAGAAACATTTTTCCCGGAGGAGAGGTGCTTCTCAGTTATTCTTCAAGCCAGACCTTTCTTCTCCTCCTTTTGCCCCTTTTTGCTGTGCCCTCACCCTGACAAACACTGCCTCCAGCAGCACCTGGCCGCACTATGTCACCCCAAAAAGAGTCCCCGGCTGCCTCCTTCCCCAATCCAGCTCTGATAATTCTTGTGGCAGCACATCAGTGGATCACCAGGCAAATTTGCTCACTGACATCTGCCGTTAGCTATTATGATTTATGCTGGGATTTGCAGAGCTGCCCCGGGGAGAGAAAACCATGGGGTATGAGGTATTCAAATCCCCCCGTGTAACACAGAAATATTAGTCACAACCTTCCACAGAAAAGGCCAAATTATGAATGTGCAATATGGCTGGGTGCTTGCTTTGTTGCTGCATTTTGGAGGGAGAGAGTTATGTAATGAAGGTTTCTTTTTTGTTTTGTAGAATGAGAAATGTTTTTATCCTATTAAAAAAACACCGAAATAGTTTGAGTGCTGAGACAACAAGGGCAATTTATTGTTTCCCTCTGAGTCTTAAACCATGCCTGTGGTCAGGAGGTAGCGCACTTGGCTCTCAGCTTTTACCTGCATTTCAAGTGGATCAGGCTTAGCGTGAGGGGCTGTGCGAGAATCGGAGCAAGGTCCTTGCCAAAACCCCCAACCTCAGCCCAAATCTTCAAGACCTCCATAAAAACCCTATGCTGGGTCTCTCTGGCATGTGAACCTCCCACGGAGGCACACTGTCTGGTGGCTTTGTGACGGGGGCTGATCTCTGCCTCCCCTCCACATTTTTTTTTTTTTTTTTTACCTCCGGTGCCCCTCTGAGCACTGCACGGTCCCCCCATCCGCACCCAGGCTGCTTCCCCGGCTCCGGGAAGGGCCAGGTTCACCCCAGCACAGCATCCCCAGCAGCGCCCGCCTCACCCTCGCAGCCCTTTCCGCACCCAGCACCTAACAGCAGCCAGGCACTTTAAACACTTTCTTAATTATGTAGTGGTAAGCACCTCACTGGAAACAGGGCTGCGGTATACAATTAAAGGAAAAACGTATAAACCATCTGATGTTGTCAGTATCTGTAGCTCAGTGTGAAATTACACCAGGAACAGGAGACTGCTGTCTGAAAAATCCATTTTCTTGTCATTTTTATAGCTCTGTTAGATAATAAAATCAAGAGAAAGAGGACTAGAATAACAATAGTATCTCTTCCTGGGTGAAAAGATAGGGGGAGGAGGAGGAATGCAGAGATGGATGTATGAAATCTCTTGTCTAAGTAAACAATCTACATACATTTGCATTTGCATGTAATCATTGATATAAAATGTTGTCTTCATTAACATCAGGAGCTGGAGATATATGTTACTCTCCCATCCCTGGCTTAGCTGCCTCTTCTAAAATACGGACTGGTGGCTCTTAAGCCCATCAAGCAGCCTTAATTCTCCTCATTTGACTGTATTATTTCAAGTGCCTGAAGATTTACTAAGGAGCAGCTGACATTAATGAGAGCTGAACATCCAGATCCAGAGGAGAATAAGCCCAAATTAGGCTTTTTTTTTTTTTTTGAATAAATAAGGGATGGGTCACCA